GTCTCTTAATTATACCAGTGTAACAAGTCTCTACGTTATACCAGTGTAACAAGTCTCTTAATCATACCAGTGTAACAAGTCTTTACATTATACCAGTGTAACAGGTCTCTTAATTATACCAGTGTAACAAGTCTCTTTATTATGTCAGTGTAACAAGTCTCTACATTATACCAGTGTAACAAGTCTCTTCATTATACCAGTGTAAAAGGTCTCTTTATTATACAAGTGTTACAAGTCTTTTCATTTTACCAGTGTAACAAGTCTCAAACTTACATCAGTGTAGCAACATTAAATCTTATGAGTAAAACAGTTTAAAGTCTGAGGATACTCACAGCAGGGGGGTTCAGGTCAAGGTCCATCCCAGTCTGTCTGTTCATCGAAAATGCATTGACAACCCAGGAAGTAATGGTGTCAGGCACCGGCAGATTGGAAGTATTGGTCCCACTCGATCTTTAATGACAACCATTGTATGTAACATGTCTGTCAATGTAACAACAAGAGATCCCGAAAGGATCTTGGCGCCTGCCATCGTATCATCTTCATTATTTCTATGTCAGTTTGATATTTTCTCTTCTTTTCTCTTATCTGTTTGATCAGTTTACCAGTCCGTCATTTAACACGCACAACTAAGGAGCAAGGGGAACCTGCATATCAAATTTGAGAAAGATTCCTCCCGTACATTCTGAGAAATAGCGATAACAAACTTAAACTGCAACAAGATGGCCGCCTGTCCCCATGTTGGTCCAAACATTGTATAACTAATGAGAACAAAGAGGAACAATCCCTCCAACAATCCCTCCAACCTCCAACAATCCCTCCAACAATCCCCCAACAATCCCTCCAACAATCCCTCTAACCTCCAACAATCCCTCCAACAACCCTCCAACAATCCCTCCAACCTCCAACAATCCCTCCAACCTCCAACAATCCCTCCAACCTCCAACAATCCCTCCAACAATCCCCCAACAATCCCTCCAACCTCCAACAATCCCTCCAACCTCCAACAATCCCCCAACAATCCCTCCAACAATCCCTCTAACCTCCAACAATCCCTCCAACAATCCCCCAACAATCCCTCCAACCTCCAACAATCCCTCCAACCTCCAACAATCCCTCCAACCTCCAACAATCCCTCCAACCTCCAACAATCCTCCAACAATCCCCCAACAATCCCTCCAACAATCCCTCCAACCTCCAACAATCCCTCCAACAATCCCCCAACAATCCCTCCAACCTCCAACAATCCCTCCAACCTCCAACAATCCCTCCAACCTCCAACAATCCCTCCAACCTCCAACAATCCTCCAACAATCCCCCAACAATCCCTCCAACAATCCCTCCAACCTCCAACAATCCCTCCAACAATCCCCCAACAATCCCTCCAACCTCCAACAATCCCTCCAACCTCCAACAATCCCTCCAACCTCCAACAATCCCTCCAACCTCCAACAATCCTCCAACAATCCCCCAACAATCCCTCCAACAATCCCTCCAACCTCCAACAATCCCTCCAACAATCCCCCAACAATCCCTCCAACCTCCAACAATCCCTCCAACCTCCAACAATCCCTCCAACCTCCAACAATCCCTCCAATCCTTTTTGAGCCATATTTGATACAACCACCTGCCGGCCATCTTGGTTTTCCAATCATCCCCAACATTAGAAAAGTGGAAATAGGAACCATGGGGGGAACCTTCATGAGGAATTTGAGGAGGACCCATCCTGTACATTCTGAGAAATAACACTAAAAAACTTTCATTCTCAAAAATGACTGTCTGTCGGCCATATTGATTTACCAATCAGTCCCAAAATTTCATATGCATAACTAAGGACCATGGGTAATTACCCTCATGTGAAATTTGGGAAAGATCCTTCTAGCACTTTCTAAGAGAAAACGCTAACAAAATAGAACTCCAAAATTCAAGATGGCCGTCATCGCCCATCTTGGTTTTGTGATCAGTCCCAAAATTTGAGGTGCATAACTAGGGACCATGCAAAACCTTCATGTGAAATATAAGAGAACCCTCTTAAGTTCTGTCTGAGAAATAGGGCTAACAAGAATTGTTTAAGGACAGATGGACAGACCACGAACCACGGATGAAGGGTGATTTGAATAGCACACCAACTGATGATGGTGGCTAAAAATGTCTGCACTCAGAGATAAACTCTTACAAGTAAAACTGATAACTAATTATCTACCTGTACATGTAATACTGACCATGAATGATCTACCTGTACATGTAATACTGACCATTAATCATCTACCTGTACAGCTAAAACTGACCATTAATCATCTTCCTGTACAGGTAGTACTGACCACTATTTATCTACCTGTACAGGTAATACTGACCCCTCTTCAATCTTGAAATCTTCAAATATTTATCTACCTGTACAGGTAATACTGACCATTTATTACCTACCTGGTATAGGTAATACATTTATTATGTACCTGTACAGGTAATACTGACCATTAATTACCTACCTGTATAGGTAATACTGACCATTAATAACCTACCTGTATAGGTAATACTGACCATTAATTACCTACCTGTACAGGTAATATTGACCATTAATTACCTACCTGTACAGGTAAAATTGACCATTAATTACCTACCTGTATAGGTAATACTGACCATTAATTTCCTACATGTACAGGTAATATTGGCCATTAATTACCTACCTGTACATGTATATGATACTGACCATTAATCATCTACCTGTACGGGTAAAACTGACCATTAATCATCTACCTGTACAGGCAATATTGACTATTAATTATCTACCTGTGCAGGTAATACTGACCCCTCTTCAATCTTGAAATCTTCAAATATTTATCTACCTGTACAAGTAATACTGACCATTTATTACCTACCTGTATAGGTTATACAGACCATTTATTATGTACCTGTACAGGTAATTCTAACCATTAATTACCTACCTGTATAAGTAATACAGACCATTACTTACCTACCTGTACAGGTAATACTGACCATCAGTTCTACTTGTACAGGTAATATTGTCCATTATAACCTACCTGTACAGGTAATACTGACCTTTATTTACCTTCATGAACAAGTTATATTGGCCATAAATTACCTACCTGTAAAGGTAATACTGACCATTAATTACCTACATGTACAGGTAATATTGGCCATTAATAACCTATCTATACATTTTATACTGACCATTAATCATCTACCTGTACGGGTAAAACTGACCATTAATCATCTACCTGTACAGGTAGTATTGACCATTAATTACCTACCTGTACAGGTAATATTGACCATTAACTACCTACCTGTACAGGTAATACTGTTCCCTCTTCAATCTTGAAATCTTCAAATATTTATCTACCTGTACAGGTAATACTGACCATCTATTACCTACCTGTATAGGTAATACAGACCATTTATTATGTACCTGTACAGGTAATACTGACCATTCATTACCTACCTGTACAGGTAATACTGACCATTAACTACCTACCTGTACAGGTAATACTGTTCCCTCTTCAATCTTGAAATCTTCAAATATTCATTTACCTGTACAGGTAATACTGACCATTTATTACCTACCTGTATAGGTAATACAGAC